TCACCACACCACACCATGAGCCCACACTACACCATGTAAACCACAGCACACCACAAAGCACTGTATCTTATAAACTTGACCGCACCTCACCACACATCACTGAACAAAACAATTCACAGCTTGTACCCTATAGGCATTGCTTACACCATCCCCTAAACACATTATATTTGTCTTAATGTATCATTTCAGGTGGTTGTTCGAATGGATGACTATACATGGCTATCAACTCAATATCGTCTCTTTTGATCAATGGAAGAAGAGGTATCTTTTGATCAAATTAAGTTGCACCTAAAAAAAATAATGTTGCAAAAGACCGTCTTTTCAAGGTTGCGTGCGCATCCAACCTGACGGCCCACAAAACTGAAAACGCAAATTCAGCAAAATCGAGAAAGCAGTTTTATGTTTAAAGAGGAGAATAATCGATTTTATGAATTCTTATTGAAAAATCTCATTAAAATGTATATTCTCATTATAAAGCTCCTGTTCTGGCATCGTTGCCCGTCAGGTTTCTTAAATTTGGACGAGCGCGCAGCCTTGGAAAAAGGTCTATTCAGTAGATATGACTTAATTGACTGTTATTTCCAAACTTTTTCTCAAGAATCGAAGAACTGAACGAGAAAAAATCGTCCGAAGAACACAGTATGTTGGTTAGACTTTTGGAAATATGGATCAAGTGAGTATGGGAATTAGGGCTTGCTAGAACTAGGCTCTCTTGTGTGTCTCTAGCCTCGACGGGCTTCCTCAAACTAGTCTCTCTCGTGTGTCTCTAGCCTCGACCAGTCTGTTATAGATCAAATGAGTATAGGACGGGCTTCCTTGAACTAGTCTCTCTCGTGTGTCTCTAGCCTCGTCCAGTCTGTTATGCTGGAGTTCTCAGCTTACCCAGAGGTCCTTCTGGTTTTCCTGCAGAAGTCCTACTGTTGGAGAAATGAAATTTTGTGAAGAGAAGGAAGGGATACGATTATGATGGGCATTATCTTCCATCCATTTTTGTTCGCTTTCCCCTTCTCAGTTTACGACTTCCTCGTATAACAGACATGGTAGTGACACTGAAAAATCATAGACAGAATCATGACCGTCTTTTTCTTTGTCAATTTTTGTTCACAGGGATTCGTCGTTCTTCTCGAAGCTAAGCACATACTCCCAGACGAACCTAGAAGGAATGATGAAGCATTTCCAAGTGAATTACCCACAGAACAACCACCATCTTCTAAATACATACTTCGCTTCTCTTGTCAATCAGGGCGTTTTACCACCACCTAAGAAATCTATCAAAGGTACAAACAAACCAACTTTTATCAATATTAATTTAGTCATCCCGAGTTTGAGTAAAAAAACTGGTCGAGTTGGGATTGCAGTGCATTGTGGGACTGTTTTACGGGACGAATACACGCCATCTTGGAAATATGTTCCCCCAAAACAAGAATCATATTCTCAAATGACACATGGTCTATAATAAGAAACATTGCACCACTTCGAATGAAGCTATTCATTTTGCTTTGATGATCAAGTGAAATAAATAGCCCACTTTCGAGATATGCTTCGTTTGTCATGCACAAAGGTTTCAGTACGAGGCTACGTGCTAAATTCAATTCTTTTCTCCTGAGCATTGTGCACGAAGCCTCACAATGAACCCTTTATGCGTGACAAGTAAGGCATATCTCAGAAGGGGGCTATTATTTTTGTGTGTGCGTGTTTATCTAAAATTTGTATTCTGTTGTTAACATTAAAGGGCCACGCCCACTCGAAGGAGAAGTTGCCATAGTAACAGGCTCATCTAGTGGAATCGGAGCTGCTGTGTCTAAAGCCTTGGCCGAGGCTGGCGCTAAGGTGGCATTAGCTTCTCGAAGAGAAGAAAGGTAACACTTTAATGTTAACAATTACTGATTGCAATTCACGCAAAAATGCCCTTAGATCAGCGCAGAGGTGGTTTCAAGGTTTAATCTGTGAGTTAGCTGTGCCCTGACTTACACACCAGCCCAGAGGTTGCTCCAGGGTTCAATCCGTGAGTAAGCCATGCCTGACTTAGATCAGCCCAGTGGTTGTTTCAAGGTATCGAACTAGACGTCTATATTGTCGGCTCTCTTTGAGTTTAGGCGTCAGGGGTTTGTGTTTGGGTTTTTGTTGTGTGATAATCTATACTTATATTGTAGATTGGAACAGCTTCGTGATGAGATATTGTCTTCTGGTGATGCAGCGATATCAGTCAAGACAGACGTAACGAACAGAGCAGAGGTACTATTGCATAAAACTAAAGTTTCTAACAACCCTTTCTCTTATCCCCTTTACTCTTGACTCCGTACGTGCTGACGTTCCTATACACATGTGATCCACCCCTTTCCCTCTTGAAGAGACCTCAATTGTTTTCCTTCAAGGTGAGGCAAGTTTCGTCTACCTGCAGCCGTCCTTCCTTTCCCTTAGTCAACGTGTAATAGTCAACTAGAAAAAACAATTGAATTCTGGTCTACTAAAGTGTATTAGTCTTATATTTATTTTACGGGTTTAATGACTTCCATCTAATGATTATAGGTGAAGAATCTAGTGGAAAGAACACAGAGTACCTTGGGTCCAGTCAGTATCATGGTTAATTGTGCAGGGATCATGTTTTACCAATACATGAAGAACTGTCACATGGATGACTGGGAAAGACAGGTTGATATAAACTGCAAGGTGAATAGGAATAGTATTTTTCACGGTTACTAAAAATAGATATCGCAAAGCCTTGTGGGATCGAATTGCGGACAACCATTGCAAATTAAGGCTTGGATTAGAAGGAAAAGAAGAAGAATATCAATCGAAAAACCATAGTTCTTTCATGAGATAGAAACAAAGAGGCTATAAAACATGTTAGAATGTGCGCTGGACTAGGCTTGTCCCCATTTCAATCCCATGATGCTTAATTGTGACGTCATCAGTGGAAAACGCTACGTCATGAGTGTGACTGTTTAAGGGTGACACTAGGGACGAATCTTATACTTTTTTTTACGAGGAGATATCAGAAATAAACGCGTTAGATCAAAGAGCTGCTTCACGTCATAGCGTAGTTTTTTAGCTTCGTCAGTGGAAGATTCTTTTCATTTTCATATCGATTGGTTATTGACAAAAGCCATATGCTTGCGTTTTCGGGATCGTGTTGCATTCTGGTCGCCGATAATTATTAGTAACTATTAGTTTAATTCTAATAGGTTTTTTTTTTTTTTTTTTTTTGCAGGGGGTGTTGAATGGCATTGGTACAGTTCTACCTGGTATGCTCGAAAGAGGCAAAGGACACATCATAACAATCTCTTCCAGCGCTGGCAGAAAGGTAAAACTAAGCACCTGATTGGCTTATTATCTTTCTCATAAACTCCAAAAAGAGACTGGTACCGAACTCTTGCCGCATGGGATTTCGGGGGTGTGTTTCAGAGACATTAACAAAATATTCTGCCATCTTGTTTTGCATTCTTAACATCGGTTATCAGTCTTTTAGAATTTTGTACACCGAACCGAGTTATAGAAAACAATTTAAATAACTATTGTCTAGGACTCTAGGATATTGACTAGCCTCGTGTTCGTGTGGAAGCACAAAAGCGTTTTCACAAGTTGTTTGAGTACTTTTTCAAAGTAAAGTTGATCGTAAAATTTTTGGACGACGTGAGAGTACAATAAATTCGCCGGCATTTCGTTTTACGTATTTTGCAAAACTTAGAGAAAAAGTTAAATCACGCTATAAAATTACGCTATTTTGTTGCCACGAAGGGAGGGGCCCCCCCTTTGCCTTTGCCCCCCCCCCCCTCCCCGCGCCCTTCATTTGCCCACTGATGGCGTGCATCATACCTAAGACAATGACCATATTTTATCGCTAAATGTCAAAATTATAACTCTTATCGCCAGGCTTTCCCAGGACTTTCTGTTTATTCTGGGACCAAGTTCTTCGTGGAGGCTGTGTGTCAAGGACTTCGGCAGGAAATAGCTGGAACAGGGGTCAAAGTTACTACTATTCAACCAGGTATGGAGTTGTCTGTCGGATTCTAGATTCGTCAGGTAACACTTTTCAATGGTTTAGATTCCTCATCAGCAAAAAAAAAGTTCCTTTCATTGTGTTTGATGTCTTCGTCGTTGCTGCCGCTGCTGCTGCTGCTGCAGGTATTGCTGCTGGTATGTTACTGCTGCTGCTTTAGCTGTTGTTACTGCTGCTGCTTTAGCTGTTGTTACTGCTGCTGCTTTAGCTGTTGTTACTGCTGCTGCTTTAGCTGTTGTTACTGCTGCTATTGATGTTGTTATCGCCTTGCGTGGTGGTGGTTGCTGTTATTAAAGGTTTCATGTACCTGTTCCAGACCGGTAAATATTCATCACAGTTACAATGATAATCTCTGTATGACATAGGTGACGTCAGAACTGAAATTGGTAACCATTCTAACGACGCAGAGGTAAGAGAGTAATAATGTTGCCCTGGGTTCCCTGTGGACGACAGATATCTGACGTAGAACTCGTTACACCTCGGCCAAGAAGGGACGCAATGTCCTGGTAAGTAACTCTTGTCATATTGGTTTTCCAGGCGCAAGAACAATACGACATGAGCAGCAAAACCAAGATCCTTGAACCACAGGATGTTGCTAACGCTGTAGTGTACGCAGTCACTCAACCTCCATACTGTGCTGTTAATGAGATATTAATCGAACCAAGAGACGCTCCATGTTAAATAAAATAACTTAGAAAGACTAGACTTTGCTTAAAATTATGATAACAATTGACCATCCAATATGCCGGAAATGGCCACGTGACCAAATTACCTTTAGGACGTCTTTTTTAAAAGACTACCTCTACTGTTCGATATCTTCATGAACGACATCAATGTAAGAGTTATTTACCGAGAACGGAGGCAATAAGCCATATACATAGGCTTATTGCCGACGTTCGAGGTAATTAAGTATTTTATTTATCAATTGAGAAGGTTTTCTATCGAATGTTGCTCATTATAAATGCGAAGTCTATATATAGTTATTAACCGGGTTAATAACTATATATTGACCTCGCATTTATAATGAGGGTTATAACAAGAATGAAGCCTTGGGAATAACAAAGAAAACCGTGTCAATTGAGTCTTTATGCGGACGACACTACTCAGAATTCATGTGATGTATGTCCAACTGTGCTGGAGTATTCCTTCAACCAGGATATTGTTAAACTGTCAGTCTGGTTCAACGATAACTTCTTACTTAGAAGCAGTGATAACAGTATGATTTAAAGATCTCAAATGACACGATAGAAACTAAAGACAGTCTTAAGATCCTAGTAGTAACAATCGATAATCATCTATCTTTTAAATTGCATATTGGCGATATGTTGAAAAAAGTGTATGCTGAAACAGCAGCTCTGCGTCGCCTTAAGCGTCTTGTGCCTACAGACGTTTTGCCTAAATTATGTAATGCCTATGTTTTGCCTCATCGTAGTCCAATATCACTAAGTATAGGTAAAACGGTAGAGCAAAAAACTCGAATTTTAAGGGCCAATTATTATGGTCTTAGAACCTTATTGAATATGGGGAATAACGTAGATTACGAGTCAGTTCTTTTAAAAACTTGCATCCAAGCGCTCTTTGGAACATAGACGACTGGAGCAAGTATCAATTATATTTTTCAAATGCGCAAAACAAAATGGACCAGCATACATTTTTAGCTTTTTCAAACCTCGCGAAACGAATTATTCTTAGTTCAACATCGAACGAGGTGCATTCTGGTCTAGCTTTTTTTAAATCATATGATGAGAGTCTTTCGGTGACAATGATCTTAATATATGAAAAGAACTCGCCTTTATTATTTTAAGTTTTGGATATCAAAAATTCTGACATTTTATTTACATTTCACATTATTATTTCAAAGTATAAAAATAAAGATTCCTGAGATGTAGTTAAGATCGTTCATGCTTATTCCAACTGCTCCGACAAGAATCTTTCTTGCCCGGCCCGTCTATACAAAAATGTTAAGTTTAAACGAAAGTTTTTCTGATTCAGTCAGCCTGTTGTGGTTCACGAGATCTGTCGTTCATAGCTTAGTTCCATGTCCGATATTCTGCTCTGACATCTGATCGTGGAAAGTAGCTGTTTGTCTCGCTATCGCTATTGTTTAGCAAAGCATAATGGCCCCATGATGGAACTTTTCCAAACTTTTTAGGTTGAAAAAAGAAAATGAAAATTAAAGTTTAGATTTGCTGTTGTTGTCAGGGTAATATAAAGACTGCCTCGAAATTCTGGCCGAAGACAATTTAGAAAACCACATCCCCAATCTTTTACTTTTGTAGCTGCATATTTTGCAAGAAAAGAAAGTATTGTAGTGTGAACATGTCCAAAACTGTTCGTTTTTCAACTGTTCGGGTTGCCAAAAGGGCATAAGATCAGGCAGAATTGGAAACCTGATCTATTCCATCGCACATGATCAATAGTTGTGGGCAGACTAGGTCGCTGAGATCGTCTAGTATATATCTGGGGTTTTATCCCCACCTCGAATCACATTCAGCTTGGTAGAACGAGGAGGGAGTCATCTGGAACGAGTGTACTAAGGTAAGCATGCATCAGTATTTTATCTAAAGCCGCGGTAATCTGAATGAAGCACATATCACCAGTTGGTGGGAATGTAAAATGGGAAAGCAAAGAGTAGAATAACTGTGAAAGAGAAAGAATTAAGAAGAGGGACTAACACACAGTATATTGGTTTAACAGCAGACATGTTGTTGGGCAGAAACAATGCAATATCTTTACAGGACAAGAGAACATTTTTATATTGTTTTATGCAATACCACATGGGGGCTGTGAAACCAGTCTGTATATGGGATACGACATGACCAATCAATGCTGACGATAGATATAAGGGTGTTTGTGTTTTATTTCTTTGTAAGGTTCTACTACCGTCTGTCCATGATGAATGAAATGAAAATAGCTCTGCTCTTTTTATTGCTTGTTGTGGTGATCGACGACCTATTTGCGTGCTCACCGTTTTCCGCGTGGCGGGACATCGATCAAGGCGTAAGGGACGGCCGTAGGTCTAGATTGCTCGCGTCTTGTAAGTACTATAATTCTACTATAATTGTCAAATTTTTCCATATGGCCGTCTTCTGTTCAGCTATTTGGTATATAGTTAGCCTAATACGATGATGATGATGATGAAATCGACGATGATGATGATGTTAATGATGATTGTTGTTGTAGTTGTTGTAACTGGTGTTGTCGAGAGACTAGTACTATAGCTAGTTGTTAAATAGCATGTACATAGAACGAACATTGAACGTGCAGTACTAATGTCTTGTTTCTTAATTTCCATCAGGTCAATTTTCTTCCATAAAGGGACTAAAYAGTGATTGGCGTTTTTACTGTTCTGTAAAACTAGAATTTTCTTTAAATCACACTCGTGATCATCAGTTGAATAACTGCACCGGCAAATTCAACTACATTTGTCCGACAGGAAAATTTGTATCGGAAATATACGGTGAATCTGGGTGTAATGCTACAGCCTTTGACTTGCAATATCAAATCTCGTGTTGCAATTATGGAAAGAGAAATTCCCATAAAGACTGTTACTGGGTTGGTTGGCAAAACTGCTTTGGAAGTGCATTCAAGTTCTGGGTACCAGATGGATACAACATAGCTGGTATAAGAAGCGAGTATAACAGCTCGGTACAGAACGAGTAAGAAGAGCACCTATTTGATTTTCAGAAGAAAACTATTCTAAACGATATTGATTTGCAAGAAAGTTAAACTGTATTATTTTAGTATTAAGGCAAAAAAGGCACGGTGACGGTACAAAATAAATGACAGGACCAATCACAGTGC